CTGCTACCAGGGCCTCATATTCGGATTCGTTGTTGGAGGCCCTAAAATCAAACCTCAGGGCGTAGGCCAACTCGTCCCCCAGAGGGCTGGTCAGGAGAAGCCCTGCTCCGCATCCTTCCTTGCTCGACGACCCATCCACGAACAGCGTCCAGACTGGAATGGTCTGATCAATTTTGCCGGTGGCCTGTTCGATCTCGGCAGTCTCTTCGGCCGGTTCAGCCTCCGCTGCGTCTCCGATCTGTCCGGCCTGAACTTCCTTTGTGACCTGTCCGACCTTGACATGTCCTTTAGCTTGCTCGGCCTCGACTGCCTTTATGGTCTGCTCGGCTTTGGAAGTCCTGGTGGCTTGCTTGACCTGGACAGCTTCTTTGGCCTGCCTGGCCTCTGCTGCGCCTTGGGTTGTTTGGGACCGGGAGGTCTGCGCGGCCTCGACTGCTTCTCCGGACTGCTTGGCCTTGACTGTGTCTCTGGTCCGCTCGACCCGTGACTCCTGTTGTCCGAAGGAGACCCCTTCGGCTATGAAATCTGCCAATGCTTGGGCCTTAATGGCCGTGCGAGGTTGGTAGCGGAGGTCGTGCTCGGACAACTCCACAGCCCACCTCACCATTATACCTGACGCGTCCGGTCTGGAAAGAATCTGTTTGAGTGGCTGGTCGGTCATAACCACCACGGGGTGAACTTGAAAATACGACCTGAGCTTCCGGGCCGCGTGGACTAACGCTAAAACGTACCGCTCAATCGAGGTGTACCTTGGCTCCGCACCCTGCAGAGCTCGGCTGACATAATACACAGGCTTCTGGATTTTTCCTTCTTCCCGAAGTAGCACCGCACTGACTGCCTCCTCCCCCACTGCTAGATAGATAAATAAGATCTCCCCATGTGTGGGAGAGGTCAAGGCTGGCAACCGCGCGATGTGGGCCTTTAGCTCGTCAAACGCTCGCTGACACTCAGGGGTCCACTCAAACTGGGGACCTCTCCGCAGGGCCTTGAAGAAGGGGGAACCCCGAACTGCAGATTTCGACAAGAATCTGTTCAAGGCCGCCATCCTGCCAGCTAGCCGTTGAACCTCTTTTATGCTTCGGGGAGGAGCCATGTCCATGATAGCTTTCACCTTGTCGGGATTAGCTCTTACTCCGTCTTTTGATATCATGTACCCAAGGAACTTGCCCGATCTGACCCCGAAAGTGCACTTCTTGGGATTTAGTCGCATCCGCGAGCTCCGTAGGACGTCAAAGATCTCCCTGAGGTCGTCGATGAACTGCTCCGGAGTTTGGCTTTTCACCAGCATGTCATCCACGTATACCTCCATGTTTCGGCCGATCTGGTTTTTGAACAGCTTGTTGACCAGCCGCTGATAGGTCGCGCCTGCATTTTTCAAGCCAAATGGCATGGTGGTATAACAATACGTACCGTATTCGGTGATGAAGGCAGTCTTCTCTTGGTCCTCCTCATCCAGAGCTATCTGGTGATACCCTTTGAAAGCATCCAGAAAGCAGAAGATCTCGTACCCAGTTGTTGAGTCGACCAGCTGGTCGATGCGAGGGAGAGGGTAGCAATCCTTCGGACAAGCCTTATTCAGGTCGGTGAAGTCCACGCACATCCGTCAAGCCCTGTCCTCCTTTTTGACCAGCACGGGATTGGCCAGCCAGGTCGGATAGTAGATTTCTTTCACAATCTTGGCCTCCAGCAGCTTGCCTACCTCCTCCTTGACGACCTCGTTGCGCTCAGGCGCGAAGTTTCTCTTCTTTTGTTTTACTGGTCGGACGCTGGGGTCCACATTCAGCTTGTGAACCGCCAGTTCGAGAGGAACTCCGGGCATGTCGTCGGCATTCCAGGCAAAGATCTCGGCATATTCCTCCAGAAGAAACTCCAGGGCTCTCCGCGTTAGCTCGCTCAGGCCGGATCCTGCCCTGACCACACGATCAGGTCGTTCAGGACAGACGGGCAATTCAACCAGACTCTCGTCTGTCTCCAGCCTCTCCTCTTTTTCCGCAGGTTCCCATGGTTCCAGATAGGCTGTCTGGGCTACTAGCTTCTCCTTACCCTTAAGGGTTGCAATATAGCAGGCCCGAGCTACCTCCGGGTCCCCCTGCACCTCGGCCACTCCCTCGGGAGTGGGAAATTTCATGCTAAGGTGTAAGGTCGAACAGACAGCTCGGAGTGCGTTTAGGGTTGGACGTCCCAATATCATGTTGTAGGAGGACGGCTCCTTTACCACCGCGAAATTCATCGAAACAGTTCGGCACCTCGGTGACTTCCCTATAGTGACCTGGAGGGTTATCATTCCCTCAGGCCTTACCGGCGGACCTGCAAAACCTATCAAGGGAGTACGAACTGGGATGAGCTGCTTATCTTCCAGCTGCAGTTCTCTGAAGGCCTTGCAGTACAACACATCGATGGCGCTCCCATTGTCAATGTACACCTTTTTTACCTTATAGTTACACGTGACGACTTCTATCACTATTGCCTCGTGGTTATTGGAAGCTAAGGGTGCCGCATCCTCCGGCCCATAGACGATCTCCTCGTACATCTTTAAGCGCTTGTTTGAGCTCTCCCCACTGGGGGGAGGTCTGTTATTTCGCCGAGCCGAATGGCTATCCCCTCCAGCAGGTCCCCCTGCAATAGTGTTGATTACTCCCGCCAGATTCGGCACCCCACGTACCGGAGTCCGCTCCCGAGGACCCCGAGGTCGGTCGTGCGAGCTGGACGCCCGATCTCGTTTGAATCCTCCCTGCTTCTGATCAGTTCGCCCCTCGCGGACGAACTGGCCAAGATGACCCCTCCGGATCAGCTTTTCAATTTCCTTCTTAAGGTGGCGGCAGTCTTCAGTGTCGTGCCCCACATCCCTGTGGTACGCACAGTACAGGTCCTGATCTCTCCTGTTTCTATCCCCGGCCAAGGGCCGGGGAGGTCGGGAAAGTCCCTCTTGCTCCATCACCGCGAGGACCCGAGCTCGGGAAGCCGTGAAGGAAGTCCAAGGCTTGTCCCCCCCTAGGGGTCGGCCTCTAAGCGGGTGGTCATAGGTAGGCTTCCGCCCTTGGTCACGTCGAACGTCTCCTTGGTCGGTTATTCTTCGGCGCTTGTCGTCCCTCTGCCTCTCCTGAGCGCTCTTCAAGCGGTTAGCCTCTTCAGCATTGGCCTTCTCATGAGCTCGATCCAGCATCTCCCGAACTGACTTGGGCGGTCTCTCCACGAGCTCGGTGTATAACTTCTGCTTCCGTAGCCCGTTAATGAAGGCAGCCATGACCACCTTGTCGTCTCGGTCACGGACCTGGAGGGATTCGTTATTGAACCGCACCATGTATTCACGCAGTGATTCCTCGACCTTTTGTTGGATGGTCATAAGGTGAGCGGTGCTTTTAGAGAAGGCTCGTGAGGAAACGAACTGTGCCGAGAATGCTCGCGCGAGCTGGGTGAAAGAGCTGATCGATCTGGGGGGAAGCCCCTGAAACCACTGCCGAGCCCTTCCTTCTAGGAACATCGGGAAGGTCTTGCACCTGACCGCATCCGCGGCCGTTTGTAAGCGCATCTGCGTCATGAATACGAACAGGTGGTCTTCCGGATCCGTGGTGGCATCGTAAGGTTTCATGGTTGGAATTTTGAAATTCGCAGGCAGTTGGTATTCCTCGATGTCAAGCACAAAGGGGGAAGCAATGTACCTCTCCGCCTCCGGGTCGAGGATTAGGTCAAGCTCGTCCCGTACCTGTTGTCGCTCCCTCCGGGGGGAGAGCCTCCGGACGGGCTCCGGATGTTCAGTTCGGGAATTCTTGTGAGATGGCTCTACGACCTCGACCTGCTCACGTGTGAGTTCCCGATGCGTCCGCTTGGCCCCGTGATTGGGACTCCCAGTTCGGGACCCTGACAGGTCGGCTCCCTGTACCTTAGGCTCCTTGTCGGAATGACCTCCCGACTGCCCTTTGAGGTAGTCCATGATCGCCTCGAAGGTGGGCAGGTTTGCTGCCACCGTCTGCACCAGCTGTTCGGGTGGGATCCGTGAGGGCCCCGCCCCTGCTCCTTCAGGTGTCGGATCCTCATGAGAGTTTTGGGGGCCGCTTCGCTCCATCCCTTTGGATCCACCAGCGTTCCTTTGAGACCTAGTTTTCGGCATGATTCGCGAAGAGAAGTAACTTGTTTCCCACAGACGGCGCCAATTGATGCGACTGCCGAGGAGAAGGTCCGACCTGGCCAGATGCGTGGAGGGCGAGCTGAGCGGTCTGACCTGCACACAGGCGAGCTGCGAGGCTAGGTCCCCTGTGGCAACTCCGACGATCAAGTCAGAAGAAGATTCGTAAGTAAAGAGTAGTGCTTGTGCTGTGAATAGCGTACCTTGTGTTTTCCCCACGCATGGTATTTATAGAGTCACAGGTAGTAGTCTCCTAGTAGAACAGGGAGTCCTTATGGGAGCATAACTCTCCCTAGGGCTCCATAGCTTAGTTAAGGCGTGCTTGGGCTCTGCAGCCCGCGCGGCCCATCCAAGCCGACCTGCTGGGCCGGGAACCTCCTACCAGCCGAGCTTATGGGCCAGGCCGACGTGTTCGTGGGCCCCACTACAATTACTATAATGGATTTCCTTTTTTTTCTTTATCAATTTTTTTCCCTTGCTTCATGATAGGATCGGCTGATCTCTAGAGCCAAACCGCCTCCAAGAACCGGCCAACAACCATAGCCTGTAACATTAGGAAACACGGCAGTCCCGAAAAGTGACTTCAGAAGTGTATCTCAAATGCTTCAAATCATCTCCACCAATTTTAGTAAAAGCAAAATTTCAATTGAAATTCAAGTTTGTACAAATCTGAAAACCCGCTACCGTCACCGCCATTGCTCCTCAAAAATATCAATTCACCATGAATGAATACGCAACATCTCACAGCGACAGATATGAACCAAAAATCAAGAAACCTCAGCAATATCATATAGAATCCAGTCAATAACTAGCGAAGTAAAAAAGAAGAAGAAAACGCAACCATCTCTAACTTGGGTCCCATATTTGACCTATGCTGGAGGATTGAAATTATTTTTGTTTAACCTCTCTCTAAATTCTCTGATCAATTTTATTTGAGATGTTATGCTAACACCCTCCTCCACACCCCTCCCCCTCCAAAAAAAAAAGAAAAAAAGAGACGCTCCTAGTTTCATCTCCACCACTGTCAGCCTACAACCATCCATGTCAACGGTGGGAGAAAACAACTCTGGATGGTCTTTGTCGGGAACGACAACTCTAGCCACTGGTGGAAGATGGTCCCTGTCGGGAGCAACTGCTCTAGTTACCGGTGGAACTCATGGAATTGGCCGTGCAATTGTGGTGGAGCTAGCCCAACTCGGTGCCACAGTCCACACTTGTGCAAGAAAAGAAGCAGACCTGAATGAACGCTTGCAAGAGTGGTCCTCCATGGGATTCAAAGTCAGTGGTTCAGTCTGTGATGCATCTTCAAGAGAGCAAAGAACCCAGCTCATCGAAAAGGTGACTTCCATCTTCTGTGGAAAACTCAACATCCTTGTAAATAACGTTGGAACAAGCAAAGGGAAGCCATCTGAAAAATTTACCTCTGAAGAATACGATATGATGATGTCTACAAATCTTGAATCTTGTTTCCATTTTTCCCAACTCGCTTATCCTCTCCTAAAGGCCTCTGGGATCGGAAACATAGTCTTCATTTCCTCTGTTGCAGGTTTGGTAAGTATACAAGGTTTATCTGTTTATGCAGCAGCAAAGGGCGCAATGAATCAACTGACCAAGAATTTGGCTTGTGAATGGGCTAAAGATAACATTCGCGTAAATTGCGTTGCCCCTGGGGTCATTAGGACCCAATTAAGCGAAGCTGTACTCAATTCTGATGAAAAATGGAAGAAATTCAAATCAAGAACTCCAATGAATCGAGTTGGAGAGCCAGAAGAAATTTCATCCCTGGTAGCTTTCGTTTGTCTCCCAGCTGCTTCCTACGTAACCGGACAGGTTATAGCTGTCGATGGAGGACTGACTGTTAATGGAGTCCAGTGGGACTAATCGTTGAACCATTCTTTCTTCTTATTGATGCTATTCAGGAAGAAGTATTGTTTAATCTAGAAGCATTTTGGGGTAAACTAATGGTTTCTATGGTAAAATATATATTAAGAATTGGCTTGCATATCGTCGGTTGGTGTACTCAGCACTGTATAGTGTGTACTACTACTATATTCTACATGCATGCAATTTCAAATATTCCAGTATCTCCAGCTAATTTGCCTACTGAATTATTTTGTATTGGTTTTTTTTTTTTCAAATCTCTTTTTGAATTCATCTGATTTATTATGCGTATTGTTTTTTTTTTCAAGCTCTTTTTGAATACATGTGGACATAGCATGTCCTAAATGTGTGGATAGACAGTTTCTTTTGCCTTTCTCCTAGGTGTGGATAGACAGTTTATTTTACGTCTTCAACAAGAAAACCAAAGATATGACAGAAGATTAACGTTTTGCACTAATCCAAATAAAATTTCTTGAGTTTAGGGTCCGTTTCAATTGTATCTATCGAAATGATTATGTGGACAAAAAAAAGGATCGTGAAAGAGAATACAGTTGAACTTTCTACACTCAAAAAATTAAAAAAATGAAAGAAATGTTCTAAAAGTACATGAGATCCATATACCATATTCAAAGGTGGAAAATATAGAAAACTACAAAACACCCTAAAACCAAGATGAAACTAAATGCTTTTCTTGAGAAAATAAAGGTTACTACAATAAAACTTACTCAACCATTTTGAAGATATGGGTTGTATTAGTTGTAAATAAGACTTTCAGAGACCATATGGTTTGAAGGAAAGGAAAGAAAAAGATACTAACGGAAAAGAAACGAAAGGAGAGTGGAGGAGTGTGATTTTCATCTATCTTGTTTGGATTAAGTGTGAAAGGAAAAGAAATGAAATACTGAATTTTTCTTTGGATTGAAAAAATGAAAAAAAAAAAAGACAAGGAAAAGATTAAGTGTTAATTTACTAGAAAAGATATGAAAAAAATTATTTTTAAAAAATTTTAATTAATTTAGTTTCATTTCCCTCAATTTTCGTCCACTTTTGGGGGGAAATCATAACTGAACAAAATAACTAGAGCTTTTTCCTCCCTATCCTTTCATTTTCCTTTTCAAAATTCAATCCAAACAATAAAAATTAACATTTGGTCGCATCGTGGTTTCCATGCTGCAATCTGCATCCCTCATTAGTGCGGGAAGGGAATACTTACAGAATCATCTCATAACGGCTGCATTAATCTTCTAGCAGAATGGAAGAGATTTGATAATTTGTCTGTGGTAATGCAAGATCTCATGCTAAAAATACAATCACATTATCATAGGTAGTTGTATTTATCAATTTTTTTTTTTAAAAAACATGTGAATGCATTAAGTCTCGTTAGCCATCTTCTCTCTTCTAGGTCACTTGGCTGATTGAAAAGAATTGATGGATCATTTCGATATTTGAGTTTTACCAACGCTTGATCAAATTCTTTTCTAATTAATTTTGGTTATAATTTCTATCTCTTCTAAGAACTTTTATCTATTCAATAAAACTAAAATTATTTCTTCTTAAGGTTTCTCTCTCTCTTCTAACAATATTTAATAATTATGCCTAATTTGTTTTATCAATATGGATTAATTTTACGAAGTGTGATTTTAATTGTTACATTACTAAACTCATTAATGTCTTAAAATTTAGAATATTCATTCTATGAAAAATTAATTATTGCAATTTTTGTATTTGATCGAGTACGAATATGCATTTTTAGGTTTATTGTCAATAATGTAACATTTTTAATTTTTCAATAACATCTATCAATTTGTCATTATGCACTACAGTATTTGATGTATATTATTGCATTATAATAAGATCCTTTCTACTGTATGTCTTAAAGGTACAGGATAAGTATACAAAATAGAGGATGTGAGCCGACAATAAAATTCAAACATTATCCTCTGAATTGTGCAAATCTTTACTTACAAAATTTAAACTTTTACAAATAATTAAACACCCAACTTTAAAAATTAGTATCGCTAATTAAACACTTATATTACATTAATGTTTTAAAATTAGTATGAGTGACTGTGTAAGAATATTGTTCATTTTTTCATTTATATTATTTATACTTCTACAAGTTCACAACTAATTAAAGGGCAAAAAACTAACATGCTCGGGCTGAATGCTAGCTTAGACTGAATTGTATTAGATTAGGTAGTTAAACCTTAAACGATGAGAGTGCACTGGGCTTTAATTGGGTTCAACCTATCTTGATCCCAACTCAAAGCGCCATTAATTTGAGCCCAAATTTCAGCCCAACCCAAAGTTAGATAAATTTGGACGCTTTGCTTGGAGTTGAGCTCAAGGGTAGCCCGATCAACGGTCCAATCAGCTAGAGATGCATTTTCACTCTATCCATAGAAAATCACACATTCCTAATGCACCAAAAAAAAAAAAATTGGAAAAAAGCAATTTTTTGGGTAAGTTAAAATTTATTTCCAACTAGTAAAATGTACGTTATAATCAATACAATAAAATTAATCGACAATGTGGAATCAGTGGAAAAAAGCATTGCAAATAAAAAAAAGCTTTCCATAGACAGTTACAACCTGTCCGATTATCTAGGAAGCAGCAGGGAGACAAAGGAAAGCAACTAGGGATGAAACTTCTTCTATTTCCCCCACGCGCTTCATAGGTTCTATTTTCTTCAGCTTTTCATTAGAACTGAGAACATGTTTGGCTAACAGGGTACCGATAATGTTAGGAAATTGGTTTGATTTCTTTTAAACAGGGTCAAGCAATGTAATTTATAATAGGTCTGAGTTGGCATACTATAAAGTGACATATAAGGGTTGACATATAAGTTCGTACATGGAGAGAGATCGAGTTCTTAAGAGATGAAAGATAATATATAATGGTTGAACTTGGGTTTAAGTTGTGTTTTTGTATAGGATTTTTTCTCTCACAATAAAGAACGAATTTTCTCTCCGTGGATGTAACCTTAATGATAGAGGCGAATCACGTTAAATCTTGTGTGTTATTTATCTTTCGTGATTGTGGTTTGTTTGTTATTAAATTATTGTGTTTTTGATGTCTCAATAGTTATGTATTCTGCACTTGAATCCCAATAGATAAAACCAATGCGAAACACAGTTTATCCGGACGTTATCTTTAGCCCATTCGCAAGCCAAATTCTTGGTGAGTTGATTCATTGCACCTTTTGTTGCTGCATAGACAGATATATTTTGTATACTCACAAAACCTGCAACAGAAGACATGAAGACGATGCTTCCGACCTTAGAGGCTTTTAAGCTAGGATAAGCAAGTTGGGAAAAGTGGAAACAAGATTCAAGGTTTATAGACATCACCATGTTATATTCTTCAGTAGTAAACTCTTTGGCTGGCTTCCTTTTTGTTGTCCCAACTTTATGTACAAGGATATTGATTTTTTTTTTAATGAAAATGGTGTTAGATTAATTACTTATTGTGACCCATATGACCACTTAAATATATAAGTAATAAAGTACTATTATCCCACGTACACATACATGAAAGAACAAATTAAGTACTTGTATGGATAGGATCAAGGCATCATGACCATAAGTCATGTACTTAATTAATAAGTCACAAGATTTAATGATCAAAGTCATGAATCTAACTTAAGTGATAATTGAATTTATCCATACATTTATGAAACTTCACATGAATGAATGTATATATATCCTTGAAACAAGTGATTAATGGTACGTAAGATTCATTCAAGTAGAAAAAACCAATGAGTCTTATTAATGATCAATGATGAGATAGGTCACTTATGTATTTATAAATAGGTTCTTGATCCCTCTCTCCACTCAATTAATTTGTGAGATTTACCGATCACTACAGCAAATATAAGAGAGAGTAGGAGAGGGAAGATCAAGGCTTGAAACCATATAATTCCAAGTAGAAACATATTCAAGGGCACAAGGTATGTCTTAATTGTCTTTATTCATGATTTGTAAGTCATGTTTGAAGATCTTGATATTATTTTCTAAAAATGGAAGTCACCTTTTCAATGAGCTGAGTTCTTTGTTCTCTTGAAGATGCATCATAGACTGAACCGATTAGGGGTGTGAATCGAAATTGAAATTCGTAATTCGAAATTTTTTGAAATTTTGGCATCAGAATTTTTGATCGAATTCGATTTCAAATTCGTTCCGAATTCCATTCGAAATTCTGTAAATTCCGGTTTCGGGAATATAAAATTATTATTATTATAATATAAATGTTATATTACATATATATAAAAAATTATATATATATATTAAAAAAGAATTTGAAATCGAAATAGGAATTCCAAATTCCGATAATTTGAATCAACCTTTTTCTAGCTTTGTTTGTGCCTTGTTTGTATAACGTATTCTCAACCCTTTTTCATTTTCGATACACTCTTCCAAATAAAGTTGTTACGGTACATTTAAGAAAAAAAACTCCCAAAAATAACTATTCAAACCGAGACGTTCTTTGGAAAAAAAAAAAAAAAAAACCCAGACATTCAATTGAGGACCAAAAGGGTGGTTGGCAAATAATTGACGGACCTGGGGCCAATGCACGATTGTTGTCATGAAAATTTTGTTATTGGAAGTAAAGTCTAATACGACTACTGAGAGCTTATCAATATCGACTCCACAGAATTCACGTCATTTTTTATCTAAAAGAACGTTCAAAATAACTTTTTTTAAATGGTAAAATCCGAAAGAAGAAAATTAAATGAAAAGAAAAACTAACCATCCGTTTCGTGGGAATTCCACAATGGCAATGGCAACGAGTATCAAAATTTCCTCAATGCTGATAGGTTTTGGCGGCTACTTTTCACTTGTTGGGTAATTAGGTTGCAATGGTAATCTATGAGATATTTTCCGTTTTCTTTTAATTACTATAACGGATTTCCTTTTTTTTTTTTCCCTTCATAATTTTTTTTTTTTTTTTTTTTTGTGTTGCTTCATAATAGGATCGGCTGATCTCTAGAGCCAAACCACCCCCAAGCAGGCAAGCACCAGCCAACAACCGTAGCCTATGACATCAGGAAACATAATTGTAGTCCCCAAAACTTCAAAAGTGTATCTCAAATAATCTCCACCAATTTTAGTAAAAGCAAAATTTCAATTGAAATTCGACAAACTATTCTTTTTTCAAGTTTGTACAAATCTGAAAACTCACTGCCGTCACCACCAATTGCTACTCAAAAATATCAATTCACCATGAAAACCCAACATCTCACCACAACCACAGAAATGAACCAAAAGTCAAGAAACCTCACCCATCTCTAACTTGGGTCCCATAGTTGAACTATGCTGGAGGATTGAAACTATTTTTGTTTAACCTCTCTCTAAATTGTCTGACCCAAAAAAAAAAAAAAGACGCTCCCAGTTTCATTCATCACCCCCACTGTCAGCCTACAACCACCCATGTCAAAGGTGAGAGAAAACAACTCTGGATGGTCTTTGTCGGGAACGACAACTCTAGCCGCCGGTGGAAGATGGTCCCTGTCAGGGGCAACAGCTTTAGTTACCGGTGGAACTCAAGGAATTGGCCGTGCAATTGTGGTGGAGCTAGCTCAACTCGGTGCCACAGTCCACACCTGTGCAAGAAAAGAAGCAGACCTGAATGAACGCTTGCAAGAGTGGTCCTCCATGGGATTCAAAGTCAGTGGTTCAGTCTGTGATGCATCTTCAAGAGATCAAAGAATTCGGCTCATCGAAAAGGTCTCTTCCATATTCAATGGGAAGCTCAATATCCTTGTAAATAACGTTGGAACATGCAAAGCGAAGCCAGCTGAAGAGTTTACCTCTGAAGAATACGATACGATGATGTCTACAAATCTTGAATCTTGTTTCCATTTTTCCCAACTCGCTTATCCTCTCCTAAAAGCCTCTGGGATCGGGAACATAGTCTTCATTTCTTCTGTTGGGGGTTTGGTAAGTGTACAAGGTTTATCTGTTTATGCATCAACAAAAGGCGCAATGAATCAGCTGACCAAGAATTTGGCTTGTGAATGGGCTAAAGATAACATTCGCGTAAATTGCGTTGCCCCTGGGGTCATTAGGACCCAATTAAGCGAAGCTGTACTTAATTCTGATGAAAAATGGAAGAAATTCAAATCAAGAATTCCAATGAATCGAGATGGAAAGCCAGAAGAAATTTCATCCCTGATAGCTTTCCTTTGTCTCCCAGCTGCTTCCTACATAACCGGACAGGTTATAGCTGTCGATGGAGGACTGACTGTTAATGGAGTCCTGTGGGACTAATCATTGAATCAGCTTTCCCGGCAATACGGCAAAGCTAGTTAGTGCGGGAAGGGAATACTTATAGAATCATCTTTTCATTTTCTTCATCTCAGTCAATGTTACAGGCAATTTAAGAGTATCTGAAATTTCATACGTATGGATATTAGGTCTGAGATTGGAACGAAGAATAACTTGCATGCATATATCTGATTCTTCGTAATGTGACTCAAATTGATTTGAACTCGACATTTGTGTGTACTTTCATCAAGAGAATATTATCAATAAATGACATTTTTTTTTAAATTTTTTGAGGAAAATTGGAGAAAGTAGACAGGTTTAACTTGAGAGTGGATCCAAGATCTCATGCTAAAAATACAATCACATTATCACAGGTAGTTTTATTTATCAAAAAAATTTTAAAAAAAATATGTGAATGCATGAAGTCTCATTAGCCATCTTCTCTCTTCTAGATGACATGGCTGATTGGAAAGAATTGGTGTATCATTTCGATATTTGAGTTTTACCAACACTTGATCAAATTCTTTTCTAATTAATTTTGGTTATAATTTCTATCTATTCGCTAGTTAAACATTTATAATACGTTAATGTTTTAAAATTAACATGAATGACTCTGTGAGAATATTGCTGATATTTTTATTTATACTATTTATACTTCCACAGGTTCACAACTAATTAAAGAAAAAAAAATAATACTCGAGCTAAATGCTAGTTTAGAATTAATTTATTAAATCAGGCAATTCTACCTTACACGGCGAGAGTGCAATGGGCTTTAATTGGGCTCAACCTATTTTGATCCAACTCAATCCACTTTTAAATTGAACATAATATTTAGGCCTAAAGTTCAGCCCAACCCAACGTTATCAAAATTTGAAGCTTTTCTTGGAGCTGAGCTTGAGGTAGCCCGAACAACAGTCTCTCAGCTGGAGATGCATATTCGTTCTATCCATAGAAATTCACACATTCCTATTGCACCGAAAAAAAGAAAAAAAAAAAGCATTTTTTTTGGATAATTTTCACGCAGAAAAATGTACGTTACAAGTAGCGTAATAAAACTGATTTACAAGGTGGAATTAATTAAAAAAGCATTGCCAGTAAAAAAAAAAAAAAAATTTATTTTACAATCAACCCAAAAAAAAAAACATTGCCAGCATCAAGAAACAATACAAACCAATATCTTGCAGAAACATTGCAACGATGACAAGATCAAATGTTTTTTAATGATTAGTCCCAGTAGATTCCATTGACAGTCAGTCCTCCATCGACAGTTATAACCTGTCCGGTTATGTAGGAAGCAGCAGGGAGACAAAGGAAAGCAACCAGGGGCGAAACTTCTTCTGGTTCCCCAACTCGCTTCATGGGAGTCCTTGATTCTATTTTCTTCAGCTTTTCATCAGAACTGAGCACAGGTTTGGCTAATGGGGTGCTGATAACCCCAGGCGCGACGCAATTTACCCGGATGTTATCTTTAGCCCATTCGCAAGCCAAGTTCTTGGTGAGTTGATTCATTCCACCTTTTGTTGCTGCATAGACAGATGCATTTTGTATACTCACGAAACCTGCGATAGAAGAGATGAAGACGATGCTTCCAACCCCAGAGGCTTTTAAGAGAGGATAAGCCAGTTGGGAAAAATGGAAACAAGATTCAAGATTTGTAGACATCACCATATCATACTCTTCGGCAGTAAACTCTTCAGGTGGCTTCCTTTTATTAGTTCCAACGTTATTTACAAGGATGTTGAGTTTTCCACTGAAGATGGAAGTCACCTTTTCGATGAGCTGAGTTCTTTGCTCTCTTGAAGATGCATCACAGACTGAACCGGTGACTTTGAATCCCTTGGAGGACCACTCTCGCAAGCGTTCATTCAGCTCCTCTTCTTTTCTTGCAAAAGTGTGGACTATGGCGCCTAGTTGAGCTAGCTCCTCCACTATTGCACGGCCAATTCCGCGAGTTCCACCGGTGACTAGAGCCGCCGTTCCTGACAGAGACCATCTTGAAGTGTTTTCTTCCAATTTTGACATGGCTGGTTGTGGGCTGATTGATCGAGCACGATTTTTCTTTCTTTTTATGACAAAAGTAATACTCAAGGTTGGGAAGGATAATCTGAATCAACCTTTTTCTAGCTTTAATTGTTTTGCCTTGTTTGTACAACATATTCTTCAACCAATTTTCATTTTCGATACACTCTTCCAAATAAAGTTGTTCCCGTACAATCAAAAGAAAAAAAGAAACCCAAAGATAACCATCCCAAGTCCTAACAGAGGATGATTGGGATGTAATTGAGGACAAAAAGGTAGTTGGCAAATAATTGATGGACCTGGGGCCAATGCATGATTGATGTCATGAAAATTTTGTTCTTTTTATTTTCTTGTGGTGTACATTGGGAGTGAAGTGTAATACGACTACTGATTCCCAATCAATAGCGACTGCACAGAATTCATGTCCTTTTCCATCAAAATGAATGTTCAAAATAACTTCGCGGTTAATGGTAAAATCTGAAAGAAGAAAATTAAATGAAAAGAAAAACTAACCATCCGTTTGGTTGGAATTCCACAGTGGCAATGGGAATGACTATCAAAATTCCTCAATGGTAATAGGTTTTGCCTACACCTTTTCACTTGTTTGGTAATTAGGTTGCAAAGTATCTATGAGATACTTTCCATTTTCTTTTTCTGCATGAATTCTTTTTTTCTCTTGCTTCATAATGGGATCGGCTAATCTCTGGAGCCAAACTACCACCAAGCACCAGCCAACAACCACGGAAATAAAACCCACCACCAATTGCTGCTCAAAAGTATCATTTCGCCATGAATACCCAACATCTCACCACAAACACACAAATCAACAAAAAATCAAGAAACCTCAGCCATCTCATATAGAATCCAGTCAATATCTAGGGAAATAGAAAAGAAGAAGAAGAAGAAGAAGCAGAAAACCATCTCTAACTTGGGTCCCATGGTTGAACTATGCTGGAGGATTGAAACTATTTTTGTTTAACCTCTCTCTAAATTGTCTGACCCAAAAAAAAAAAAAAAAGAGACGCTTCGAGTTTCATCACCCCCACTGTCAGCCTACAACCACCCATGTCAAAGGTGAGAGAAAACAACTCTGGATGGTCTTCGTCGGGAACGACAACTCTAGCCACCGGTGGAAGATGGTCCCTGTCAGGAGCAACAGCTCTAGTTACCGGTGGAACTCATGGAATTGGCCGTGCAATTGTGGTGGAGCTAGCTCAACTCGGTGCCACAGTCCACACCTGTGCAAGAAAAGAAGCAGACCTGAATGAACGCTTGCAAGAGTGGTCCTCCATGGGATTCAAAGTCAGTGGTTCAGTCTGTGATGCATCTTCAAGAGATCAAAGAATTCGGCTCATCGAAAAGGTCTCTTCCATATTCAATGGGAAGCTCAATATCCTTGTAAATAACGTTGGAACATGCAAAGACAAGCCAGCTGAAGAGTTTACCTCTGAAGAATACGATATGATGATGTCTACAAATCTTGAATCTTGTTTCCATTTTTCCCAACTCGCTTATCCTCTCCTAAAAGCCTCTGGGATCGGGAACATAGTCTTCATTTCCTCTGTTACAGGTTTGGTAAGTATACAAGGTTTGTCTGTTCAAGCAGCAACAAAAGGCGCAATAAATCAGCTGACCAAGAATTTGGCTTGTGAATGGGCTAAAGATAACATTCGCGTAAATTCCGTTGCCCCTGGGCTCATTAGGACCCAATTAAGCCAAGCTGTACTTCATTCTGATGAAAAATGGAAGAAATTCAAATCAAGAATTCCAATGAATCGAGTTGGAGAGCCAGAAGAAATTTCATCCCTGGTAGCTTTCCTTTGTCTTCCAGCCGCTTCCTACATAACCGGACAGGTTGTAGCTGTCGATGGAGGACTGACTGTTAACGGAGTCCAGTGGGACTAATCATTGAACCATTCCCACTTCTCATTGATGCTGTAGTTCAGGAAGAAGTATTGTTTAATCTAGGAGCATTTAGAGGTAAAATTAAGAATGGCATGAGTTCGGTTTCTATGGTAAAATATTATGAATTGGCTTGCATATTGTCAGTTGGTGTACTACTACTGTATTCTACATGCATGTAATTTTAAACATTCCAGTATTTCCAGCAAATTTGCCCATTGATTTGTTTAGTATTTTTTTTTTTTCAAATCTCCTTTTGAATTCATGTGATTTATTATGCCTCTTGGGTTCTTTTCTTTTAATCTATTTTTGGGTTCATGTGGATATAGTATGTCCTAAATCTGGGTACGTGTGGATACGGTATGTCCTAAGTCTGGATCCATGTGGATATAGCATGTGCGTCTTGTTTTACGTCTTCAAGAGGTAAACCAAAGATATGACAGAAGATTAGCGTTTTGTGGATTCACTAATCCAAACAAAACTAAGACTTGAGAGTTTAGGGTCCGTTTCAATTGTCTTATCGAAATGATTATGTGGATAAGAAAAAGGATAGTGGAAGGAATAGACCGCAGTTGAACTTTCTATACTCAAAAAATTAATAAAAAATAAGAAATGAAAGAAATGTTCTAAAAGTACAAGAGAACCATTATCCATATACCATACTCAAAATAATAACTTGAAATATTATCCAAACATTGGTGTTATCCATATTGTCTAACAAGAGAACCATTATCCAAACACGCATGTTATCCATTTACATGAGAAGTGTGTTTGGACAAGATATTATTTGGGATGTATATTTTTTTAAAATTACTGTAATACTTTTTTGATGTGACGTATGCGAGATAAAAAAGTAATTGAAAAATTTGTTGATAATACAAGGGAGTCAATGCGTATAAATAAGGTGTAAACCAAACACAGAAACCTACAAATACAAAACACTCTAAAATCAGCAAGAAGCTAAATGCTTTTCTTAAGAAAATAAGAAGGTTAATGCAGATAATGTACGAGAACAACACATAAGAACTTTTAGAATGTAAGAGGCAAATTGGTAGATATAGGGGCTAATCTCCAAATTCCCAATATGGAACTGCAGAAGAGAATTTTCTCTTGTTGCCGCTGGTATAGATTCCTATAAAAGACTGAGTACAAAAGACTTTTAGCTTTAGAGAGTGCAGAGAGTAACACAGAGAAACACATAAAAGAAAGAAGTTGCCTTTTAAATGCAGAAGAATAAAAAAACTGTTTCTCTTGTGTTAATTCAACAAGAAGGTTAAATGGTCAATATTAATTGTTTAAATTGGTTGAAACCCATTAACAGTCACTCCTTCATCCACAGCTATAGCCTGTCCTGTGATGTAAGAAGCAGCTGGGAGACATAAGGAAAGCCACCATGGATGAAACTTTCGCTGGCTCTCTTAAGTCGCCTCATCTAGCAATCTCATTGGACGTGCCGCTAGTGAGGTTCAATTGATCGACGGCTCGACGCAATTGACCTCAATACTGTCTTTATCCCATTTACAAGCCAAATTCTTTATGAGTTGATTTACTGCAGCTTTAGTTGCTGCATAAACAGATAAATTTTCAACACTCAACAGATCTGCAACTGAGGAAATGAACACGACATTTCCATTCCCAGATGCTTTAAGAAGAGGATAAGAAAGCTGAGAAAAATGGATTCAAAATTGGTGGACATAGAGTAATCTTCTGCGGCATGTTCAACAGTGGGCTTGCCTTTCCATGTTCCAACATTATTTACAAGTATATTCAGCTTAATCATCAGCTGTTACAACATTAATCATCAGCTGTATAATCCAGAGCCGTCTTGGCTACAAGAGTTCTAACATTGTTCACAAGAATGTTTAGCTTGGAATCAAAGATAGAAGCAACCTTTTCGATTAGTTGTATCCTTTGCTCTCTTGAACGAGTGTGGACCGTAGCACCTATTGCAGCCAATTCCTCCACAATTGCTCGGCCTATTCCGCGAGTACCACCAGTGACAAGAGCTATCATTCCATTGAGAGACCATCTCAAGTTGCTTTTCCCAATCTTTCCCATGGATTAGCTGGATTTATGCAGGTCTAGTTATGTTGCTGATACACTACTAAGGAGAGAAAATGGGCCTCATATTCTGAGGATTGGGAAAGGTTGATGGATGTATTGTGAAATTTACACTGTTATCTATTTTTGCGCTGTATTTGTAGCCAGAAACTACACTAGTAAACATCTGTAATCGGGCAAGTGCTATACTGTATACAGAGTCAAATTGGTTTATGAATTTGCACTCTAACATTTGAATTAGTATATTTTCCAACTGGTGTACAAGAAAAACAAAGATAATTAGAACATCAAGCAGGCTGAAAATAACCTTAAAGCTATGATAATAATTAACGACAATACATTACCGTGATTTATGCAGGTCTAAGATCCTTTAAGCTATGTTGAATACAAGCAAAAGTACGTCATGGCAGGCCTAAGATCCCTGTTTTTATTTCCTTTTCTTAGTATTCCGGCTATGATTTAGAAGACTTTCATCTTATGCAGGATTGTCGCCATTTGTAATGGCAAGATTTTTTTCTTTTGACATTTTTAGTGTGCATTAAACTACCTTATTTTTTCTTAAATTAAAAATTAAAGATAGTTGTGACAATTTTAGAGTTACCATCCTCTAAATAAAAGTGTAAACCTAAACTATTTTGCACTTAAAAGATTCAAATGTATGTCTGATTAGTCATTAACAAAATAACCTAGTTCTGGAAAAACAATAATGTTTTGGACACAAGTACAATATTTGAAGCTGGTGGGAGTAATTTTTAGTTCAAAAATTATGTCCGAAATTAGTTGAAACAATGAGAAATGTTTGCTTTATTACAAGTACTTTAATCAACCAAAGAACAAGAGGGAAATGCTTCTTTTACTTCTTCCTATTCATACTCTTTTCATTTTTTGCGTGTTAACTCGCGCCTTTGTTGTTAAGGTCGAGTAAAAGGAAGATTCAATAAATCGACCAAAGAAAATAAAAAACCAATAGATAAACAGGTAACAAGAAAGGGGATAATATGGCGATTCGCAACGTTAAATTGCAGATGAGAGTTTTTTCTTACAAACACTGAAATAGGCCACCATCCAAGATTGGATACAAACATTTAAGGGAAATTTGTCAAATTGGTCCATAATATTTTCATAAAATTTTTTTTTTAATTCCCAACATTTAAAATCAGCCAGAATCGTCCTTAAAATATAAATTATGATCCATTTTGGTTTTAATGCTCGTATTTGCTCATTTTTTCGACTGAAAATAGCACGCCTCTCTCACATGGGTATGTTTTTAAGGGTAAAATTGGAAAACATACTTCCTTACTTACCTTTCCCCTCCTCCCCGACCCCAATCATCACCACCACTAGTATCAACACCGCCCATTTCCCCTTCCTTACCTTCTCCGTCCCTCCCTCCCCTTCCGTCTGTGCCACCACTACCACCCCCTACTGCCCCTCCTCCATCTGTAAACTTATCACCCTCTTTTCCCCCACAACCATCACCTTCCCCTCTCTTTGGCACAACACCTCCCTCTCCAGCTCTTTCACCCTCTCCTCCTCGGCCAATTGCAGTCCCATCACCACACACTTCAGTTTCTCCACCACTTCTCGCTATAAAGTCACCACTCACCAGCCCTCTCTCTCCTGCATTACCTCCTCCACCATCACCTGATTCTTCCCAGGCTCCATCCTTGTTAAATCCCCCTTCACTTTCGGTGGCGTCTCCTCCTCCCATTACCACATCTCTTATTCTACCTTCTCCTCCTGCCTCCCGCAATAATGCATTCCAAGCTGATGCTCCAACTAGCTTAGCCTTACCAGCAATTGCCCCTGAGAAACCCACTGCAAGATTAACTACACTTGCTCTAAATATTACTGCAATCACAATATCCAGAAATGGTAGGGGCATGAAGGGCGGAGTTGTCATGACAATTGGATTCGTGGGCTTTTTGACAATTGGTCTTGTGGTGCTTGGTGTCTAGTTGGCACGAAAGCAAAAGAAAAAGAGAGCCCTATTCAACATTAGGTACACAATGCCTTCTTCATATGCTTACTCCCAAAATTCAGGGAAAAAATTAGGGTTTCTTGTGACTGTAATTTTAGGAGGAAAGATGAAAAGGGATACTTTTGCTTTCAACCGAAAATGAAGTGTATTTTCTGGTTTTGCCCTTAAAAATATGTCCACGTGAGAGAGGTGTGCTATTTTTAGTCGGAGAAATGAGCAAATACGAGCATTAGGACAAAAATGGATCATAATTTATATGTTAGGGATGATTCTGATTGATTTTAAATGTTGGAGACTAAAAAAGTTTTTTGTGAAAGTATTAGGGACCAATTTGGCAAATTTCCCAACATTTAATTATCATAGACTGCAGATTACAGAGAGGAACACATAAAAGAAATAAGTTGACTTTTGAATTCAGAAGATCAAAGGCGCAAATTCTTCCTGTAATGTAGAACTCACAAGAAGGTTGAATGGCAATATCAATTAACTAAATCTGACTTGATCCATTAACAGTCATTCTTTCATCCACAGCTATGACCTGGCCTGTAATATAAGAACCAGCCGGAAGAGAAAGGAAAGCAACCAGGGATGAGATTTCTTCTGGTTCTCCAATTCGCTTCATAAGCGTTCTTGAGTCTGCCTTCCTCATGTATTCTGCGTTGTTGAGCCCTTCTTCAACTAACGAGGTCCTAATAATCCACCGAGCAACGCAATTGACCCGAATATTGTCTTTAGCCCATTCGCCAGCCATATTTTTCGTTAATTGGATTACTGCAGCTTTGGTTGCTGCATAAACAGTGAATTTTCCAGACTAAGTAGGCCTGCAACAGAGGTAATGAACACAATGTTTCCAATCCCAGAAGCTTTCACAAGAGGATATGCAAGTTGGGAGAAATGGTAACACGATTCAACATTGGTAGACATATGCAAAGAATAATCTACAGCAGGATATTCAAGCGCTGGCTTGCCTTGGCATCTTGCAACATTATTTACAAGTATATTCAGCTTCCCATCAAAGATAGAAGAGATCTTTTCCATGGTCTGTGTTCTTTGCTCTCTCGAAGATGCATCACAAATTGAGCCATTTACTTTAAATCCCCCGTTGGACCATTCTTGCAGCCGTTCATTGAGCTCTGCTTGCGTTCTTGAAAAAGTATGCACGGTTGCACCTAGTTCGGCTAGCTCCTCCACAATTGCACGGCCTATTCCTCAAGTTCCACCGGTGACAAGAACTCTCATTCCCATCAGAGACCATTTTGGACCCTTTTCGCTCATAACAGCAAGATCTATACTTACCTGTGCTATGACGCTGAAGATGGAAAACAAAGGCTGATGATTTTAATAATAAACCTTAAAATTTTGTGGGCAGGCACCAATAGCAAACTGCCTGAAAATGTTTAGGATCCATTGTATATCACCGATTATGACAAGATTCCTGTTTGGAAATTCCAAGGTGGTCAAATTGGAAGAAGACAAGGGCCTACGTATCCAAGTTTCATTTCCATTTATTATCATATTAATCTAGAAATCGTTCAATACGATTCTAATAATGCAGATACCAGTTACTCTCCATTTTTAATTACTCCATCTGTATTCAAACATTGCAGACCATATATCAAGAATGTGTCTAGTGTGTAGTAACCATTAAATGGGGAGGAATGACTTACAAATGGTAAAACCCCTATAAATTGAAGAGACTCTCTCCACCCCAAGATTTTTTAACTCTTGAATGAACTTATTTCTCTGCCATAGTCTGATTTGAGAAGTATCTGCATAGAGTTACTACTAAGAATGAGTATGCTCTGACATAAGTCAGTAAATTTGTGACGCATTTCAACTAATGACATAAAATTCAAGAAAAGTATTTTTTTCATCCACTGTAAATATGTTGAATTGTTTAGTTCAACCAACATTACAAATTAAAAACTATAAGATGTTGTAAACTATCATTAGTAGTTTTTTAATATATTATTATCTTTAGTCCCAAGCAGACAATATGCAAATAACATTTTACATGCCCAAAAGGAAATAGAATTAACTGGGGGAAAACAAAAAAAGGTTGTAAAATCTTGCTGGAAAATTAAACATTTGCATTGATAAGATATGGCCTATTCCCCTATTCAAATCCGTTGACAGTCATTCCTCCATCCACAGCTATAACTTGGCCAGTGATATAGGAAGCAGCCGGTAGACAAAGGAAAGCAACTACAGAGGAAACTTCTTCTGGCTCTCCAACTCGCCTCATAGGAGTTCTTGATTCTACCCTCTCCCTGTATTCTCTTTCATTCAGAACCTCTTCCACGAGTGGGGTTCTTATGTACCATGGTGCAACAGCATTAACCCGGATGTTATCTTTAGCCCACTCGCAAGCCAAATTCTTTGTGAGTTGATTCATTGCACCTTTTGTCATTGCATAAACGGATGTATAGTTCACACTTACCAGACCTGCAACGGAGGACAGGAAAACAATGTTTCCAATCCCAGATGCTTTCAGGAGGGGGTAAGCGAGTTGGGAGAAATGGTGACAAGATTCAAGATTTGTAGAAACAACCAAATTATACTCTTCAGCAGTGTATACTTCAGCTGGCCTGGGTACAAATGTTCCAACGTTATTCACAAGGATATTGAGCTTCCCATTGAAGATAGAAGAAACCTTTTCCATGAGCTGCATTCTTTGCTCTCTTGAAGATGCATCACAGACCGAACCAGTGACTTTGAATCCCTTGGAGGACCATTCTTCCAAGCGCTCATTCAGCTCAGCTTCTTGTCTTGAAAAAGTGTGCACTATTGCACCTAGTCCGGCTAGTTCCTCCACGATTGCATGCCCGACTCCTCGAGTTCCACCGGTGACTAGAGCAGTCATTCCAGAAAGAGACCATCTTGGACTATTTTTTCCAACGGCACTCTCCATGATTGATAGTGGGATGAGCCTGAAGATTGCCAAAAACTAATGTTAATATAGAGATTTTTGGGCTAATAACTTATTAGAATAATGCAACGTCGTTGTGATTGTGGG